CGTCCAGGCGCCCAAGGCAGCACAGACCCCTGCGAAGGTCCAGGCCCACATCCTCGCGCCCCTTTCTCTCCTGTCTGACTCAGCGACGCCTCTCCGTTAGCTTCCCCAAGGAAGCACACCAGCCTCGGTCGCCACACCTACTTCGGTCCCACCAGACAGGAGCCCCCTGTGGCCCACAGAGAAGGTTGAAGGGTCAGGCTGGGCCAGGTCCACGAGGGTTTACTTTTCTTCAGAAAAGGCAGTTCTTGAAAGTTTCTGGGTAGGACAGCACGATCTGACACACGTTTTAGGAGAAAGTTGTATCAGGAGTGGAGCTGAGAAAGGGCTCAGGCTGGCAGTGTAGGAATAGTGGAAGGGCATGGCAGGCAGGAATAGTGGAAGGGCATGGCCAAAGCCAGCCTGGGGTCAGGGAGAAAGGCACCCCTCCAGGTGCCAGAGCCGTCTCCATTCCCCGCACCCCCCGGGAGCTCCTGCCCTCGGTACAGCCCAAGTGGTCGTGACCACGCAGTCTGCTCGTTCAGGACAAGCGCCGCACAGAGACAGGAAGGAAATGATCATTTTGTGGAATGTGTTGTGCTTTTAACACAGACCTCACTGATCCTAAAGTAATGGGATTTCTATTGACATTCTGTTGAGGATCAATACTAGATAAAAAGGTAAAGTGGAGATCTTGGCTTCTCTACATGAAACTCACATGCAGCTTCTCTAGATGAAACAGCAACAGGAACCACCAGGCTTTCTCCCACCTCCCCAGTGAGTCCTTAGAATTCAAACTGGGGACATAATGATGTACGGACACTGTTTTCAAAAGTTACATTTTCTTTCCATTTTGGTGGGTTTTTTCCTGTCAATCACTAGGCTGAAAAGTAGCAAATTAAGCAAAGATATTGGATCATCTAGAAAATAAACCAATGGACATTAGGCTGCTGCCTCTGTCTCCTATAGAAACAGGTACACAGGCATATAAAGAGTTTCTACTTATTCATATGCCAGAATTCATTTTTCTTCGTCTCTCATTTATTAATTTTCATGCATATCTCGGTGAGAAAACAGTGCTTTGGGGCAATAACAACACTGAGGGCTTGCGTGCAGCCCTCCCCCGGCCCGGAGGTCACCCAGAGGTCAGTGCCCACCAAGCCCAGCAGTGTCTCTGCAACACTGCCGCCTGGGAGCCTGGGAACTCAGCCTGCCCCCAGCCTCCCTGACCCCGGCGTAGCCCTGCTGTGGCTGGCTGTGCTGTGCTGGCTTCTGGGTGAGGAGCCGTCCCACCAGCTTGCCACTCCTGGATGTGACGGAGCGTGCAGGTCTATGTCGTGCCACTCAGCACCCACAGGTGCCCTCCAAGCGCTGCTCCCATGATGCCTTGTCAAGGGAAGCAGCAGCCCACGGCCAGGCCACTCCACCCGCCACGTTGCACCTGGCCTCCTGGGTGCCCCAGGCAGGGCCACTAGCCTGGCCCTCAGACCTCGCCGGGGAGGCTGTGTGTGTGTGTGTGTGTGTGTGTGTGTGTGTGTGTGTGTGTGTGTTCATACACTGGTGCATGTGCTTGCAAACCAGTGTATGTGCGGGAGTATGAACACATGCATGCATGTGCACACGTCTGCAATTGTGGGCTTTCCTATGTGTGTGTGCACTCACGTGACGTGTGTACACGCTATGTGCATGCATGCATCGCACATAACGGTGTGCGTGTGTGCATTCATATGTGCGCGTACACACGTATGTGTGTGCCTCTGTGCACGTCGGAGGTTCCCACCTGCTCGGTGTCACGACACCAGCCAAGAGTAAAAACATTGCTCACCAGCAGTTTCATCTTCACCACAAACACCATCTGCCTGATTTTTTTAATTAAATGATTGTTTAATTGAATATCAGTCAAAACTTCAGTTTTGTGGTTGCGATTTGTGTTGCCAAGAGCACGTCCTCTGCCTGAGGAGGCAGTAAACCCAGGCACTCCGGGATCACTGGTTCATTGGTCTCAAGAAAACACGGCTTGTTTGGTGACTGTGTCATGTGTGTGTTAATTAAATTATTCTTTTAAATGTAAACAACCTTTATGTTTAAAATAGTAACTTACAAACTCAGCATTAAGTGATGTAAAAACACTAAAATGTGTTTAGTTTAATTTTGGTATTTCACCATGCTAATAAACTCTTGGTCTGGCCTCCAGCAGGCCAAGAGTTTATTATAATTCTGAGAAATAGAATAAGACCCATATTTCAAGAAAGCTCCAAGGACTGGCACTATTTTCCAAGGAGCATAAAGAATCAACTCTCAACGACTAACTTAAACTCTCTAAAAGGAGAACAAGCGTGAATGAGACGGGCTTGCGCGGTGGTAACATTCCAGGGCGTTGGAGCCATCACGGGAAGTTTGTCCCAATTAGAAGGAGCTGGGCAGCTTCACGATTCTCCACTCGTTTCCCCGAGTACTGGTCTTTGGAACAATTTGAGTGTAGGGACATTTGAGATTTTCTTTCCTCTAGTAAACTTTAAAAATTAAAACCCTGGTATCCCACATCATTATATCAGCTTCTATAACGTGGACTTAACCATATTCATGGAGTTAGAAACACATCTTTAAAAATTTCATCTGGCTTCTTGGTCAAACGTACATTTGACAGGGGAGAAGCCGCTGTCTGCACCCCCAGATGCTCTCTGCTGTCCCGCCCCGTTCTGCCTTCTGCTCCATCCCAAGGAAAGTTTGATACTTGGTTTTGCTTGCAAATTTGAAAGATTCATAAGGCATCTAACATTTTCAGCTGCACAGACCGTGTAAGACAGAACCTCAGAAAACAGGAAGGATGTGGGAGGGTCTGACATCTGATGTCTGTGCTGCACACGTATTTGCTCCGTGCCGGGGGTCCCTGCCCAACTGCCTTCCGCAAGAGCCCACCGTGTGCGCAGCCAATGGGCACACTCTGGCCAGGCTGCCCCCTTGTGCAGTTCTGGAAGGTAAGCCTTGCAGCTGCCAGTGAGGGCTCTGCTCCAGGACGAGCAGCAGCCTCGCTCAGGGGGCAGGGAACGCCTGGTGCCGTATTGATCTGGCTTAGGTAGATGGGCTAAGTATTTTACAAGTCACTTTTGCTGCCACTTATCGCTTTTTCTACTTACGTTGATGGCCAGTGGGCCAGGGGTGGGGGGGCAGGGGGCCCCAGGCCTTAAGGACCGGCAGTGGGACTAGTTGGGCCGGGCCCTCAGCCTGGCTGAAAGAGGCCCAATATGGACCATTATCTGAAGAGGTCTGTGGATGAGGACCTAGTAGATTGGCTTTGAATGATTCTTTTTCCTCGGGTGGCATCAGCATAACAAGGAGAAGACACTGCCCATGGCCTCTCCGATCAGAATCCCCAGGTTTCAAAGTAATTGTCCAAGCATCAGCACGACGGCTTTGCCACCTCCACTGAATGGTGACAGGTCTGCGCTTCTGCGGTAGAAAGAGGGCCTCCTCTCTCTAGCAGTTTCCTTTGCCGCTGGGCAGTCTGGCCAGGTCCCGGCTGGACGTGGGCCTCGGTCACCTGGGTGCATGGGAACTCGAGCTGCAGGCAGTGCACCTGGGAGCTTAGGAGAGGTCTCACCCCAGAGCCCGCACCTGGAAGCTACATTTACGCTGAATGTGGCTACTTTTTCACAGTTAGAAGTGGACCCCATACACTCTAGAGAGATCACGCGTTATTTCCGTAGCTTTCGTCACCTCAGGCGTCTTGTGCTGTGCTCACCCTAGCAGCGCACAGTGTGTCCTCAACTCCTCCTGCAGGAGGCATACACCATTTGGGTCAAGGTGGGGCTCTGCTTAGAGCACGTTCAGAATTAGCGGCACACCTGCCTGCCACCACAGTTCCAGCACATGGGAGCCGGGTCACCTTTTCCCAAGATTCAGAGCCTGCCTGGCTCCCAGTCAGCCTGCAAGACTGGGTGGAAACACACTTCACCATCATTTGGAACGCATTTCATATTGCATGTGTAAACACGCACACACGTGCATATCCTAATGATTTGAAAGTATGACCTTCACATCAATTAAGGCTATTTAAGGGGTATATTTCAAATGAAATGCTATAATATTCAAAATCACCAGATTAATGAGTTAATCAACAGGATAATAATCTTTGCCAGAAAAACTATGACTGTGATTTTCCAGAATAGGATCGGATTGTTCATATGTATTAACCAAAATAAGGTCAGCTTTGCTGTAAAAACCCCATCGCCAGTTTCCAGAAAAAGAAATGTATGGGACCTGATACACACACAGAAATTTAGCCTCAGAAAGAGGCTGGATTTAGTCAACCAACTAGCATAATACAACTGTTCAAACTCAACATTCGTCTGACCAAATTCAATCATTTCCCCCCAAAACGGATTTGTGTCGACATCCTCTAACCCCAATTTGATGAATATCTCCAATAACATGGCAATAATTTAATAAAGGAACTCACCAATTTTAAATTGCAATAAATTTACCAAACATTTTCACTGTTTATGGAGAGCTTTACAGTAAGAAAGTGTCAACAAAAGCAGGCACATCCGTGTACAAAGTGTTGCTGTTGGTGCTTCTTCACTTCCATTCCTGAAGGACCAGCTGCTCTGCCTTTCTGTCCTCTCAGCGAGCGTTCTTCCGGCCGCGAAATCACCCTCTGGGTGAGCTCTCACTCGGGTCTCGGAGGGCGCCCAGGGAACGCGCCCAGGGAACGCGCCCAGGGAACGGACTTGCCAAAGAGAAGTGCGGTGGGGCGAGCCAACCCCAAAACATTTATTGTAAACTTTAAAATGGAGTCCGGATACTAACAGACACAGAAAAGAAGAGAAACCTCCCAGACACAAATAATCATACTGGAGGGCCAGTCTCGTGGCGGGGGGGCCCCAAGAGGCGCTGGGCCAGACCGCCCCTGAAGATGCGTCGCCATGGAGAGGCCTGGCTTTGCGCCCCGCCAGCCCCCGACCTCCCTCGCTGCGGTGGCGGGTAGGGAGGCGGCCGCAGTACATCCGGATCGGCCCGGGGTCTCAGGAGGCCCGGCTTGGCTCCCAGGGGCGCGCCGCCTCGCAGGGCGGCCGGCAGCAGTAGGGGTAAGAGGCGTTGAGGTCGGGGTCCGAGGGCGCGTACCCCGGCAGCTCCACAGACGGGTGCCCCCCGCAGCACACCTCCACGCCCGCCTCGTCAAACGCGTGGAAGACGCCCACGTTGATGTAGGAGACCGCGTGGTGCGCCGCGAAGCCCGCGCAGTCCCCCGGGGCGGCGAAGTCCGACTCCTCCGGGGACAGGATGGAAGCCTCGCTCGGCCGCTGCTGCAGCCTCCGCCCCCGCCGACCCCGTCGGCCCCGCCGCGCCCGGGAGGCTGGCGGCTGCGCACGGAACCCCGGGCCGCCGCGGGGCCGCGCCAGGGCCCGGCCTCCCTTCCGCCGGCCGCGCCGGCCGCGCCGGGCCTGCGAGGACTTGTAGTTCTTGACCAGCAGGAGGCTGAGCAGGCCCAGGAGGCACTCGAGCGAGTTGAAGACGGTGGAAAGCACCAGGCCGCGCTGGTAGTCCTTCAGCTGGCGGCACTTGGCGGACGTGGCGCTGTCCAGGGTGCTGCGGCCGCGCGGCGCGCCGGGGGCCGGGCCGGGGGCCGCGGCCGGCGCGCGCGGGGGCAGGCAGTAGTGGGAGTACTTGCGTTCCACTAGGGACACGGTGTCGCCGTCGATCACGGCGCCCGCGAAGGCGCTGAGGACCCCGAGCATGAAGACGAGAACGCCCAGCAGGAGCAGGTTCTGGCTGTTCACCCGCCCCGAGGGCCCGGCTGCGCTCCCCGGCTCGCCCGGCGCAGCCTCCGGAGCCCCTGCTGGGGCCGCGGGGCCCCCGAGCGCCGGGCCCGGCCCCGGCCCCGCGAGGGCGGCGTCCCGGGGCCCGCAGCAGAGCAGGGCGGCGCCGAGCAGCGAGAGGCCGGCGGCCAGCAGCAGCCCCGAGTAGAAGGCGCCGGCGGCCGCCCCCAGCCTGAACGGCTCCCCGCGCAGCTCCGAGCCCAGCGAGAAGCACTTGAGGCCGACGGCGGCGGCACTGAGCGCGCAGGCGAGCAGGAGGCAGGAGGAGAGCGCGGCGCAGGCCCCGCGGATGCTCCACTTCATCCTCCGCGCCCGAGCCGGCCCGCACCCCGCGCGCCCGCCGCCGCCCGCCGCCGCCCCCGCCGCCTGCGCCTCCTCCCGGCGCCGCGCGGCCGGACCGCCGGCCTCCTCCTCATCCTCCCGCGTCCTCCCGGGCCCGCGCCGCCGCCGCCGCCGCCGCCGCCGCCGGAGCCCGCATCCTCCGCCTCCCGCCGCCGCCGCGGCCCCGCGCAGGGAACCGATGCGACGCGGAGGACCGCAGGACGCGCGCGCCCACTCCCCAGCCCGCGGCGCCCCTCCCAGGACGTTCAGCTCCCCCACCACCACCCGCGGCCCGGCGCGCCAGGCCCAGGCGCCGCCCTCCCCCCTTCCCCCCAACCCCCGTAGCCCCTAGGACACCCCTCTGCCGCCTCCCCAAGGAGAGGTGCCCGCTCGCCGCGTCTCTCCGCCTTCCTCCCCCTATCGGCGCCCCTGCCCTCTCTGGGAACAGCCCCCCCACTCCTGCCTCCCTCCCCTGATGCCCCCAGGCCCCACCTCCGGCACCTCCCACCTCTCGAGACCCTGCGTTTGCGTTCCCCTGGTCACAGGGCTGGGGTCTCACTCCGTGCCCACTGGCCCGCTAGAAATCAGGAAGCCTGGGAAGTCAGCTTGGGGGCAGGAATAGGGGAGCCCCGGCGCTGAGGGGCTACGGGGGAGAGCCTGACTGCAGGACGGGGGAAGAGGCGAGTCTGGGGGAGAGCGGAAGGAGGGAGAGCCCGGGTGGGAAGGAGGTTTGAGCGGGGGGGGGCGGGGGACGGGAAGGGACGGGGAGAGGGGAGCTCGGGGGAGGGGTAATCCGGGCTGCTGGCGGGATGAGGGCGGGAGTCTGGATGCGGGGTGGGGGGGAGGGCTTGGAGGAGGAGCTCAGGTGCTGCGACCCTCCGGCGCCGCCCGGGTAGTTCTGGCTCGAGTGCGCGGGGGAGGGGGTGGAAGTGCTGCGGAACTGGAGGTGAAGCCTCAGGCAGAACCTCGGAGGAGTCTCGTTGCGCTTTAGTCTCAAAAGCCCTTCTCAGGGATCATGCAGGAATTTACCCCAGATGCGGGTGCGAGTGAGTTAACTCATCAGAAGGCGGTTCATGGCCTGAGAGCAACGTGGAGAAGGGGGGTGCAGCGCGGGGGAAGGTAAATCGCCTCCTTCCGACCGACGCGGGCCGAGAAGAACTCCCGATGAGGGAGAGGAAGGCTTGGGGAAGCGTGGGGCGTGGAGATGGCCTTCCCCCAGGCCTCTCTGGGCCCCCATCCTCCTCCCGGAACCAGGCCTGAGAGGGGCGTCTCTGGAAAGCCCTCTGAGGTCCCACCGGGCCGAGCGGCTGGGCCCGCGCCCTCGGCTCTTTCCACACCGTCGCTGCGGCTGCTGCAGCGAGGCACGGGGAGCCGATGACTCACCCTGCCGGCTAATTGCTGCGTTAAATAACTTTGCGCTGGATCCAGGGGAGGCGGGAGTGGCAGCGGCTAGGGAACGCGCTGGGGGAGGAGGGGACGGGGGAGGTGCAGGGGTGCTTTGAGAACACACCCGCGTTCCTGCCGCCCGTTTGGCAAGTTCAGGCCTGTGAAGACGTCCCCCAGAACTCACAGCGTCGTGCCCCTTCCTTCATAGAGTGTCCACGGTGCCCGGCGAGCAGGGGCACAAGCCCCCAGAGGCCCCTTGCCTCCGGAGAAAGCCTCCCGCATTCGCCAGGCAGCCCGCGCGCAGGGGTCCCTCGCCCACGTTTCACGGAAGCCATCTGCCCAGTGAATATATGTGAGCGCCCTTCATGCGGCTCTCTGGACATTCGCGTGGGATCGACTTGAACGTCAGTAGCTGCGCAGAGAAGGAGCGGGTTTCGCTGTATTTTTAGCGGGGAACGCAGATTTAGCACATCGGCTGAACCTCCTGATTCCGTCCTGCTCCGCATGCATGACGACTTGCCGGAAAAGTAGGGGTAGTGAGCCTTCTTTCACATTTATGGTGTATAGGTTTTAAAAGGACAGTGTGTAAATCAGCTTGTATAATAATCGTGGCACCCACGCGCGTAAGCGGAGTTGCCATGAGCTGACTTCCAATGATTATTTCGGTTTCCAGGGAGACGAGGTTTGCAGCCACCTCCGTGAAGGACGGAGCCGCTTCTCCATTCCCAGTGCAGTGCCGCAGCAGCCCGATTGATTAGGCTCTGCGGGGAGAAGGGAGCTGAGGTCGCCTGGTCCTGCGCCGGGCCTGGGCGGGCTGGGGGGCGGGATCGTGCAGCAGCCTCTCAAATTGGAAGACCTGAGCTAGGCAGGTCTGTGGTTTAGTATTTCTCCGGGATCTGGCCTCCTCTCTCCTCGCGAGCCCGCCACCCGCCCCCCCACTAGACACTTCCCTCCCCTGGACCACCTCTGTGTTCCTTAAGTGAGCCGTGCCTCTTCCACAAGCAGGGCCTAGACACGTGCTTTTCTGCTTTATGTCCCCCATGCCACATCCTCAGCCTTTTCATTTCTTAGACCTTAGCTTCAGCTCCCTTAATCGGACCTAACTTTTGTTGGGTGCCCTCTGTCCTGCCGCAATGTAAAGAGTGCTCCCCAGGGCTTTTGTTCAGTCCTTGCAACAAACCCTGAGGCACCTGGCACTGTGATCCTAACAGAGGCTTCCCACCCAAAATCGGGTGACCTGTGGAGACAGAACTCAAACCCAGACTCTGTGCCCTCCCCCAGCCCCCCACCTCCCTGCACCCCACCTCCCTGCACCCCGCCA